TGAAATATATCCTGTTGTCTCCCATATTGTACAAATCAACTGCTCAGGTTCTGGAATTTTAGGGGTTGTTTAGAAGTTATCACAGTGAGCTATAGAGCTTGACAAAGAAAAACAGAACCCGAAATTTCTGAACAGAGAAGGGTTCCCCGCCACCGGAAAAAATAAAAGTTGTCGGAATTCAGAACTAAATGTATGGATGTACTCGGAATTTCCAAGCGAGTGTTCTGTCCAAATCGAAAATTTTGAAAATTGGCCGGGATTGAGCTCACGCGCCGGCGCGTGGTGTTTGCCTCGCCGGAATGAGCCGCGCGTGGCGGCGCGTGCGGGGTTGTTTGTCGGAGCTGTTTTCAGAGGGTCGGTCGGAATTGAATATCCGTGCTAATGGTGTTTATGGATTCTCAAGATTCCTTTTTCTCAGGCTCCTCGGGGAGTGTGCCTGAGAGCTCGAGAAAGTAGAGAGAGAAATTATTTCTTGTCTATAAACTCCTAATTCTTCTTGTCATCCGTTCGACGAGTTAGTTTCTAGAATCTGTCACCTACATATTATTATGGAGCTTCCTCAGTATTATCACCTAATAATCATTTCATAAAACGATTACACATGTTAATACATACATAAATGTACTAACATGATAAATATATTTCTAATTAGTTGATATCACCTAGATAATTTTTTTTCTTTTCATTGTGCCCTATCTTTAGTTTGCATGGATTCCAAGAAATTGTAGGTTTTTCCAAACAATTTTCTTCCATGTGATTTTAGGTCTACCTCATTCCCCTTTTATTATCGCTCACCATGCTTTCATACCTATGTACCGGTGCATCTAGAGGTTGATGCAGGACATGCAAACCATTTCAAGTGACCTTCTTTCGTTTCTATTAAAGTAGCTAGGTGCCAAAAATATAATAAAGGATAATAAAAGAAAATCATGACAATTATCTTCATCATAGTTACAACAATTCAACAACCTAATATTATGGCAAGTCATTGCCTAATATTCATTAAATTATGTCTCAATGAAATTAAACATTACATAAAATAAAACTTGTAGTTGTAGAAATTACAAACTTTCCTTTCAATCATTGTTCAGTTAATCATGAGACACCGAGTTCTGATTATCTTCTTCTGTACAATAAGATTTACAACTATATGAACTTTCACTTCTTGGAGAAATGTTATCTTGAAAACATTCATCATGAGGTATATCTTGCCCCCTTTTCCTTAGTTGATCAAGCTCAGCTGCCACCTCCTTCATGCCTGGCCTTCTCCGAGCATTAGAATTTAAGCATCTATTGGCAAGCTTAGCCACAGCAAGAATCACTTTTTCATCCTCAAGGTCTTTTATAATTTTAGTGTCTAAAATCTCAAAAATGAGATTTTGTTTTAATAATAATGTAAAGCGTTTGACCAAGCCTGGATCTTCTATTATGTTTGAAGAGACAACTCTTTGGCTTGTCAGAAGCTCTGCAAGAACTACACCAAATGCATAGACATCACATTTATCATTAAGTTTACCAGATCGAAAATATTGTGGATCCATGTAACCAAATGTACCCCCTACTAGTGTTGTTAAATGAGTCTTGTCAACGGACAATAATCTCGAAAGTCCAAAATCAGAAATCACTGCTCTAAAAGTATCGTCTAATAATATGTTGCTTGATTTGATATCTCTGTGAAGAATGGGAGTAGAAGCACATGAGTGCATGTAAGAAAGGGCCCCTGCTACTTCCGCAGCAATTCGCAAACGATGGTCCCACGATAGTATCATTGTTGATGGTTTTGAGACAGTAGGATCAGAATTGTGACTAAGGTTTCCATGAATATGGGATGACAAGGTTCCATTAGAGATGTATTCATAAACCAATAAAGGAACTTCAATTTCTAAACAACAGCCAAGTACCTGTCAGAAATAGTAAATTTAAATATTACTCTCTCCTTTTTAATTTAATGGCGTATTTGTTTGGACACAGTTTAATAACAAAAGGAAGATTTTTGGAATCTACAGTCTTAAACATGCCATGAGATTTATATGGTTATAAAGGCATGCTATTAAGGTAAAATATGAACTTTAACTTAGATTTTCAAATATAGAAAGATGTCATTCCTTTTTGAACAAACTAATAAGGAAATACTGCCACAAAAAATGGAACAGACGGAGTAAAAGTGTGATTAAATGCTGGGTTCATTGGTCTTTTGAGTTATCCTGCGTGTTTAAAGTGTGTCTATTGAGTAATTTTAGATTGTTCATTAATTATAGTTTATGTAAATAGGTGTTTAAAAGTTGTTGTAGTAGCTATATATATGTCAAGTCTAGTGTGTTGTTTTGTTAGAGTGGAGTATTTCCAATATTATTAGTGTGTTTTACGTTTATCTCTCCATTTTCTAGCCTCCTTGTGCATAATGTTATTCTCGTCTTCCATAATTTGTAGCAAGAGCCTAGTTTAAATTCTAAAGCAGTACCTTGACAATGTGTCTGTGATTTATCTGGGAGAGAATAAGTATCTCATTTATAAACTGTTCAATTTGATCTTCTTCCATTTTATTGGACTTCTTCACAGCTACAATGCTTCCATCTGATAACATTCCTTTGTAGACAGTACCAGCCCCTCCTTTTCCAAGAATTCGACTTTCACTGAAATTGTCTGTTGCTTTCTCCAACTCCTCTTTGAAAAAGAGCTTTAACAAAGAGCTACCATTACTTTCTTTACTAAAGGGAATACGTTGTCGCAAAAGCAATCCACCGTTCCTCTTGAAAAACTTTTGTTTAGCTTTCTTTTCTTCCCTCTTCTGAAGCCTTTTGCGTAGCCAAAGACAAACTGCTATCAAGATTACAAAAGTAACTGCTGCTACAACACCTGGTTGAGAGAAAATCAGTTTCATATAAAAGAAACATAAATCCATTTTTAGAACACCCTGACCTGGTGCTCCTCCTATTTTCCATAATTTTCGAGGACGTCTTGTAATTTTAAAACTTAGATTAAGATAATTGAGCTTCTAATTTTCTCAAAGAGCAGTTAGCTAGAATAAATGTTACTAGTATAAAGTTCTTAGTCAGGTCATAACAGGATAATGAATCTATTTGACAGTTCAATGAGTAATACGTCTCAAACAAAAAGTTACGGAAAGCATAATTTACTTAACAAAAAGAAAAATGAGAACAAAAAAAAGGACAAAGAAGAGAGTTGTTCAATACCTAAGGAGAGTTGTATAGTCAGCATATGTTTCGCATCATTTGGCTCACAAAGGAAACTGCCAGGAGTATTTATGCAGCGAGCATCATTGGGACATGAATGCTTCCCTTTTTGACTTGCACACTCGTTGATGTCTGTGGAAATTAATATCAAATCAAAGAAAGGTAAGAAAGAGATACAACAGAATGAATGACTCAAAGTTCTTTAATATCATTATCAACAAGCTTGATCAACGGTTTAATTTTATGCTTGTTTTTACACAAGGGGATTAGGGAAGGGGAAGGAGGTAAGACGATAGTGGGAATTGAACCCTCAATTATTATATGATAAATTCTCACGGGTACCACTAGACTACAAGCCTTGGTAATAGTTTTATGTTTCTTTGAATTAGTGAAAGAAAAAAGAGTTTAACTTTTGTACACCGGCAGTGTCAGAACTTTTTACACTTTTAGTCACCTAAAAGATAACTACAAGTAATTATCCATAAAGAGTGAGACTTACCTCAAAAATAAGATATGTTACCTGCTAAAACAAGCTAAAATACACCGGTGGTGAAAAATATTCTGACATTGTAATTCCCTCTATATCATTTTATGTATCTTAGTTTGATTGACCAAGAAGTTTAAAAGTATAAGGAATACTTTTGAATGTTGTTGTTTTAAACAAAAGGTGTATATATCATGCCAAAAGTATCCCTCGAATCTTGTGGTATTACACATTCTATTTCATTCCTATAAATGAGTGTTATTAAGGGTTATAAATATGAATACTGGAATTAAAAACTTTACTAAACATAGAAACCAGGATCTAGTTACTTAGCTACGAGTTTGTCTAAACCTGGTAGCTTTGGCTTAGAACCTGTATGTGTGAAAAGGCACTAAATGAATACAAATAATAAATCTTAGACCCAGTAAACCAGATGACATGCTGCAGAATCTTAAATTCGAACCCATAAAGTTCATATCATGGATATATCTCAAATAGAAATGCGACGTTCTCTTTGAAATAGATTAAAAAGAAAGACACATAAATTAAAATGGCGGGGTTAATATATAAGTTAGATCCAGATATAGATGGACACGGGAATTAGTACCTTGGCATCCATTAGGGAGGTAAGGGTTGCCTTGATAACCAGGAGAGCAATTGCATCGATATCCCTCAGTAGGTCTAGTAGTGTCATCAACGCACCTACTGTTCTTTCCGCATGCATATTTTGGCGTTCCGGTGGCTTTGTCGCAACTAACATTGCCAATTACCCAGTTCACCGCCTGCCTGACGTTATAATAATCATCTTTTTTGCACTTACCAAGTAATTGAGTGAATTCAGATTCAGCAATGCCTTTTTCCACAACTAATAAATAGGTGCAATTGCTAGATGTCCATGATGTTTTCTCCGTGTTCATTGTTTGTATGGAGGCAAAGAGAATTCTTGGCATTCTTGAAAAAGCAGACTGACAACAACCGTTATTCCCAGTGCAATAAGTTGATGAAGCTGAATATGAAGCATTACTGGAGTCATAGAGCAGTGAACCTGTAACGTAAAAACACTTTTTGAACCACTTTTGCTACCACCTTAGATAATTCCCTTATGTTAAGG